AAATAGGTCAAAACTGCCATAGAACATCTTCCCCATGGGACACAACCCACTGTGCATGATGACTCCTACAAGAGGTGTCCTCAATTTTTGTAGATTTGTGGTTGACTTGCACACTTGTCGAAGGTTTGGTACATCAGTTTTAGATTGATTCATACCATCTAAAATTATTGTTAAATATTTTGACGGATTCCGCCGAGCTTTATACAGATGGAGGTGATACTTATACAGATGGAGGTGATACTTGGGGCACATAAACAAATAATCTTTCCAAGATCTCTTATTTCATTCTATGAATCAAGGAGAATTTAAAACTAGCATGCCTAGACAATCCATAAAGTTTGCCAAAAGGGTGAAATATACAGTAAACTCTAATCTTTAAATACAGTTAATGCGCAAGTAGTGGCGTTAGTAAAAGTAATACTTACATTACAAGTTGAATGTGTTCATTCAGAAGCTCTTTAATATTTTTTCTTGTTTGTTTGTTCATTGTTGACTCAAGTTGCTTCTTATACTTTGTACAGTTGTCACATTTTGTAAATGTCACATTTTGTACAGTTGTCACATTTTGTACAGTTGTCACATTTTATAAAATGGCCTATGTATAAAGATTTATCTCTTGGTTAATAGCACTAATTTTTATGCATTGCCATTTCTTTAGGCTAAAATCTTCACCAACAATTAGTTTGGTATTTCGATAGACATTGTTTCAAAGTTAGGCTTGCAGGTGAAAACAATAACATAAAGGAAAAGGTGCATAAATATTCACAGTGCATTAAACTCTTCTTTTTAATTAATTGTGTTCGGTGATTTATTTACCTTTGGTATTGAGACGTGTGTAAACTCTTTCTCCATGATGCTGTAAAACTGTGACCGGCTAACAGTAAGTATCATCTGAACCTATCTCATTCGCCATTTTCTTGTAGAAGGCTAGCCTTGTGAAACAAAATGGTAAATGAACTTTTCTATTGTCTGGTTGTTGGTCACCAATTTAATTCACCAGGAAGGTCAGCCACACTTAAACGCTTTGTTGTCTGCCATCTTAAGCCAGAGTTGCCATGTGTGTACACCTCTGAGCCATCTTTATAATCACAATAAATCCTCTCAAATCTTTGCTTAATCCCATGGATAATATTAATCCATGCTTGCTTGCACACAGGTGTTCCTCTAATTCTAAAGACAGTTGTATTTGAGGTTCCTTTATTCCCACCCTGTGGTACTTGTGTTTTCTTTCAGGAAGCTAAGAATGTAATTTCTTTCCTCTACTACATTTGCAAGCGAGTTAAATTTATTTCTAACTTCATCAATATCTTTGAATGTGTCAGGTATTTTAAGCAATCAAGTGAACAACATTCAGACTTTATAATTGCAACGACTCTATCTTGCTCAATTTTCTTGTATGTTCCTGAATAAAAGATAAGTATAATGACAACATTTGTGAATATTTGAAATTGAAAATTTATGAAATGAAAACTATCTTGTCTTTTTCAGTAAATCCTGAATTGTGGGCCCATCTTGTATCAATGCATCAAGAGAAGCAAACAACTTTTCATTATGTGCACTGCCTTTATGCTCAGGTCCATTCACATGTTGAACATTGCTATTATAATAATAGCTGTTACACAGCTCACAAACTTTTCTATTTCTCCCCAAAGAAGTAGAAAATGTTTTTGTTATGACCTTTGGACAAGAAAATGGTGATTTGTCACAGTCAAGCTGACGTTCTGGCCATTCTGCCATTTCAATTATTAATGGCCTATATTTGCCAGCTACATCTTCAACCTTAATAAATTGACCTTGCAATTTTCTAAAGCCTGCAGCACACAAGAGCTATCTGCTGAGCAAAAAGTTACTCGTGCCTGTTAGCTCAGCCGATAGCTCACCGATCAAACATGTTTGATACGTGAGAAAAGGTTGCATGAGGCAAAAAAACTCAGTAAAATGTACGCGCACACGGTGAGCTATCGGCTGAGCTAACAGGCACGAGTAACTTTTTGCTCAGCAGATAGCTCTTGTGTGCTGCAGGCTTTAGGGTAACCCTACCTATGCATGGTTGCTAAGCCAGCTGTATTTGAAAATGGCACCTCAACGTGACGTTTTAGCAGCAAGTTGTATAATTTTGTCTCAGACTTTTGCTTGCTGCATTTCAATGCTATATATGGTCGTTTACTCTGTGTGTTGTTGTATTAAAAGGGCGAATAAACCATGACCCGCTTGGTAGGGTAACCCTACCTGACGCATTTACATGCCTTATGTAAACAAAAACATAGCCCTTCTGGTAGGGTTACCCTATCTGCTTGACAGGGTAACCCTACCCCTAACTAAGGTTACCCTAGTGTGCATGTAAACGCAAGGCGCAAACACAATAGACTAGGGTAACCCCTCTGCTAGGGTAACCCTTCTGTTAGAGTTGAGTATACCCTACCTCCATGTGAACAGGCCCTTAGATCAAAAACTACAATTGACGGTTGTACCCACTGGGATATTTATCATTACATGCTACTATTTAGATGAGAAATGGATGGATATAGTTGTAATAATCTTTAAGAGAAGGAGTGTAAAAGTGATATTTTTTATTAACACCCACTAATCAACAGCCACTTCCCTACCCCTTCACACCTGTATGCAGCCCTGATCCCCCTACATATTCATAAAGTTTCAAAGTAATACTGCTCTGTATTCAAAAACAAACTTTAACATCACAAGTGCTACTATAAAGTATGCAAGGATGTCCAAAATCTTGATTTTTAGCTCGCTGTTGTGCAAAATAGTAAAATTCAAGGGAAAATTACAGTGAAAATTACAAGTGCAGGCATATTATATTGTGAACTATGGTATTGTGAACTATGGTATCGGGCGGGTATTGCTCTGATAAATGTAGAAGCTACCTGAAGATAACTCCGAATGCGGGTTTAGTTGTGTTGATTTTGTAATGCACCTATCAATGGTAAGCCTCAGCGGGTGAGGTCGAGCATATATAGGGGATTTGATTTTTTATGCAAATTTTCTATCAAATGCCCCTCTGTGGCACAACAAGTTGAAACAGGTATTAAACACATTATAACAAATTGTGGAGCACTTCAATTTTTAGCAACAACACAGACTGCAAACAGAACAATCAACTTTTTATAACATCCACCAAAGGCAATTTGTACCATAAAATAGTGCCCCGTTCGCAGGTTAAGCTCAGTTCAAATATCCCCACCCTTGGGAGCAGATTAAGGATCAAATTCCCAAGGGTGGGGAAACAAAGATGGATCAAATCCCCCATATATGCCCGACCTCCCCCCCCCCCCTGGGGCTTAACATTGATAGGTGCATAATCTGCAAAACACAGGTAAAATCACGTGGTAAAATGTAGCAAAATATTTCCCTAGTTTCACAATGAAAAAAATATCCTGATAATTAGCTGGTCTAAAAATCTAACTTGGCCAAATTTCTTTAAAAATCTAATCCAAAACTTGAAATGTCGATTAACTTGTGCAAACGGTTAGCATGCTAAGTCGAAGCAAATAGTAAAATTCATTGGCAAATGAAGATTGCGATATAGCTGAGCAATTGTGCAATATGGTGCAAGCATGTAACAAAACATTCGAATTTTGTATGTATGTCTTGTATGTACGTCTTGTACATTTTGTATGTAAGTCTTGTTCACAGAATCTAGTATTTCTTACCTTCAGCATAATTTTCGTCAGCGTCGTATTGTTAATGTTCTCCTGGTCTTTCTTGGCAAGCATTTGCTTTGTGCATCCTTGTTTGGGGTATAAAGTACTGTTCTACGACGTTTAGCAGGCGATTGGTCTAAAAATAAATGTGCCGATTCATTGTGTGTTATAAATTATAACTCGAACAATGTTAGCCTACATCATAGACTCGAGCTTGTGTCTATGACGTAGTCTAGAACAACGTAAAATAGAAGCAGTTATATATCCACTAGAAAATTCCGACAACTAGTCTTATCTCTTAATAGATATAAGTGTTCAAAACGTTGAAGTTTTGCTTATAACTTTCAGGTAGTTGCTCTGACTTTATTGTATTGTTATCACTATCGACGTTGGTTGTTTGTGCACAGATAGAAGTTGCCTGTGTGTGGAGTTATTGAATGTCTGTGGACGATCAGTCTGAGACTGGCATATTATTAAAATAAAGGCTAATATTATTTAAATTTTAAAAGAATATCTTCTTACTTTTGCAGGAGCTGAGGTCCTTACTTTCACAGGAGCTGAGAGCTGAGGAAGAGCATTCCTGGTTTTCGAATCCAACAACTAAAAGAGACAAGTTTTCTTGTAGCACTGGTGAGGAGCACAATTCAGCGGACACAAGAACCAGGGGCGAGCTGTTGACTAAATGAAATTTAAAAAAATTATTATTCAAATATACGCATATAAAATACAAGTCTATAACAAGTTTATGTTGAAAACAGATTTTGTGTTGTGTCATACCGTTTTCCTGTGCAAGACTTATCGGTGAACTCAATATGTTTTCGCTGTCACTGCTGAATCCTATCATCAAATGCGATCCAGCTTATGTTTCTACCCGCGACATCAGTGAACTTGACAACTCGAACGCAAAACATAACGAGTCTTCATCATCTTTGCCTGATGAAGACATCAGCAAACTATTCCTTTTATGCTCTAGTGTTTTTAAATTATTGAAACAATGCTGTGGAGAGACAAGTACTACGAAGCTGAAAAATTGACGTTCTTTACTTATACCCTCCAGACCAGTTAATAACCAACTGTCAAACCGTATTTTCCATCTGACACGTCATTACCATCCGCCGTCGCTTTGTGATTGGTTAAGCTTTGTTAACAATGACAAATTCATCTTGCCAATGGTGTCATGTTCTTAGTTCCTCATTGGTTCTGCCACGGGGATGCTAACACCTGAAGTCTCGACTAGTTATTTTTCACAGTCTGTTTCCCTTCTATTATCTGTGATAGTGTGGTTTATAGAGGTGCTTAATTTTGTTGTTAGTGTTTTCTGAACGGAATTCTTCTAATATGCCTTCATCACCAAACTGGTCAATTAAAATCAGGCAAGAAAAAGCATACGTTGTTCTCGCCGACGGCAATCCGCTAACTAAGAATGGCAATGTGTTTTTAAATATTGAGCGTGCAGAAGTCGGCGAATACAAGAGCAAGATGGTTATCAAGGTATAAATGTATTTATGTTTTCCTTTCATCGACAAAATGAGTATTACTGTTAGTCTGTTACATGTGTAGTTATACCGACCAATGTGTGTTTATATCTTAACCGATTCGCAAATTTAGATTTATCGACTTTAATTTAGCTGTAGAATAAAAGCCCACAGAACCAGACACAATTTATTAGAATGGCACGGCGTTTTTTATGTTTTTGTTTGTGCTGGCAGATAAGTTTGCTTTTGATTTAGTTTTTCCAAAAAATGTAGCGCTGGAACATTCTTACCCTTCTTATCCACATAATATTTAAAAGGTTCCTTTCTACAATTACAGGCCTGCTTAGGGTTAGCCAAATTGCATCCGGTGTCATCTGGGCTTTGACTTTGAGGCTATGAATTTGAGCCGTGTGAGCAATTCTATGTTATTTAAGTTCTTTGTAGGATTGCATGGCGATAAATCATATAACACTTTTTGTTTGTGGAAACACCACGTTAATAATATATTATCTATTTTATTTGTTTGTTTGCGCGATTTGAAACAGTCATTAGCAGCAATTACACATCTGTAGTTATGTACAGTTACCAGTAACGAATTGGCTATTCGTACCATTTGATATTCATATTGCAAAGAATTATTTAACCTGTTATATATTACCTTATATACCTAGAGATTCTTAAGAGAGTTGTTTTAGGTCATAAAACCGAACCATAGACTCTCCACTTACTGGATAGATTAGTGGTGTGGGAAAACTGTATCCTATTGTTAATATTTACTGTATAAAGTGGTGAGTTAAAGGAAGCATTTGGATTGTGAAATAATTTATTAATGAAGACTTATTCTAGTTCATTTGGGAAAAAAATCCAATTGACTATTCTGTCAGCAAGCTAAGAAACATGTGCTGTAAGCATAGTTAACTATGCTCTAAGTAAGCTAAAGCATAAAGGACAAAATTCGGCAGGGGTTTGGGAAAAGCTACAGCTATAAAGTGTTGCCAAAAACTTGCCTGCAAACGTTCCTGGTTAGGTCTTAAATTGTGTGTGTGTATATATATGTATATATGTATATATGTATATATGTATATATGTATATATATATATATATATACTCACTTGGATTATCCACCAAACCCAGTATTCTAGTTCAACTAAATGAAGTGCAAACAACATCTTTCAAGTTTACCCTATGTGTACAGTACCGCTCGCGTATATCTTAACACTTTTTGCGTATCATTGGCTGTTTTATTAACTTTCAAAAACTAAATTGTCGAATCGCGTCGGGTGTGCCTGGACCTTAAGACACCATGCACAATGTTTTAATCAGATAGTCTATAGAATATAGGTCTTGAGAAAATTGTAACAGCGTTGTCTCCGTATCTACAAACAGTCTGAAAGTAATGTTCACAAAACAGGCGGTGGCCCATCTTATTTAATCAACAATTATTACAGTTATCAGCACCTAAAATCCAACTATACTATAGGTTGATGCTTATTAAATATTGTATTGTAGCTCAGTTTAGAACTCCCAATATATGTGTATGTACAGTATACCTGTTTCGGAATTAATAGGCGAATTATAACAGCGTGTATATGATATGTGTATTTGCAGGGCGCTATAAAACACGTCTTTTATAGCGCCCTAACATTTGTTTTTAAGTATTCGTATGATACGCACGTTCGTTTGATATGCGTATTTGTATGGTACACATATTCGTATGATACGCGTATTCTATGATACGTGTATTCTATGATACGTGTATCATATGCATAGCATGCGCGTATCATACATGTATCGTATGTTAAGATACGCGAGCGGTACTGTATACCCTCACTTCGTTATTCGGGGGGTCTACGCATCAACAAAATAAGCTTGCCCAGCCTACGTCACATCAATTTCATATTTGGGGTAAATTCACCTGAATCTATACAGCGTGTTATCCAAAAGGCAGCCGTCAATAAAGTGTTCTTGCACATCAAAGTCCAGTTCACATAACCGCTTTTTAAGTGTGTTAGTCACCAGACAGGCTTTGCAAATGCTATTTGCGAGAAAAATTGACAGTGGAATGTGAACGGATGTGACGTAGGCTGGGCAAGCTGTAGCCTGTGTAGCAGGCGTTTTTGTTGCGCTGTTCTTCATTGATTATAGACCGAACGAAACATGTTCTTCTGGGGGTCTACAGCGTAGGCTACCAAAATCCAGTAAGTGGATGGTGTATAGTTTGGTTTTGTGACCTAAAACAAACCTCTCAAGAATCGCTAGATGTATCTTAGCGATTCTGTCGGCGATTTTTCTCCTGGCAAATATGATCGAATGAATGGCATGCAAAAGACTTACAATCTTTTATGTGTCTATCGTCAGCTTGAATGGCATGCAAAAGACTTACAATCGTTTATGTGTCTATCGTCGGCTTCCCCCTGGGTCCGACCCCCAGGAACCCAGGGGGATTTGTCTCAAACACCAATCCAAATCTGGCAAATATCCCGGGGTACGGGGAGTAATCTAGAAATCAAAAACTGATAATGCTCCTACCCCTGGGGAGATTTTGTTTAACATTTTTCGAAGAAACTACTGTAGAACAATCGACGAAAATTTGAATAATCGATGTTTTTTAAAAAAGAGTTTTCTATATATTTAATATATAATTTGGGGCCAAAACGTTTGCTATAAAATATCTCAACGAATTTCGAGATTCACAAACAGTACTCATCACTGAGGTTGGTACAGTGAAATACTTGCCAGGAGTGTTACTGTAATGAAAAGTGGCACATACTTTACTTTACTTTTATACAACCAAGCAATCTCTTTTAATATGTTCCAACATACTAAACAAAATCGCCGGCAAAATTGTTAATGTGAACCAGGCTTTAACAAAGATAAGTCTAGTGTGAATAGCAAACGAAAGATGTTGAAATATTCACCAAAATATTTTAATATTCCATAAGTTTATGGCTATATATAATATATTCAAAAGAGATGCATACTAGTTGGCATTACAATTAATAAACAGAGCTTAATTTCTTTGGCAATGTATATTGTTTGCCTGCTATATAATTCCCACTTGTATAAGGGGGTGTTAAAATACATTCAACTCGTTTTAGGCGAGCCTGCCTGGGTCATGGCATTTATATGGGAAATTTACATTTTCACAAAGTGAAATCTCACTTAGGCGGAGCCAGCCCGGTTCCCATATAAATGCAAGTATAACATACTTAGTCTGGGACCTGTATGTGAGTTTGTATGCATTTAATTTAGGACAGACAATCTCAACTTGTTCTAGGGCAAATTGACCATGACCAACAACATGGCATATGTGCCAAAACCTGAATCTGCACACCCAGAAACAGCACTTGTGACAGCCCTATCTACTAAATCATGGAAGCTAAACATTCTCTGAAGTTCATATGGTGTTCAGAATGGTTGATTTTAGGGCAACACTTATGCACCAGTCAATGTAAATCCCTGCCTGTTTTGGCCATTCGGCCTGTTCTTAACAGTTTGCGCCAATTACATTTTAATGCATTCTAATTGGTTAGTCACCCTCGCTGCTGGGGGTGACTCGAAGGTTATTATTGTACGATTTTTTGTATTGTTTTGAGGCGATTTGCAGTCGATTCTCCTTTTACCACTGTAACACAAATAAAATCACTTTAAAACAAATTTGTGTTGGTTATACTGCTGATGAAGGGTCTCACTGAGCGGGAGCCTGAAGTATCAGAACAGTAAAAGGAGATGTAATAAGTGTAAACATCGCTGCAACGTCGAAAACGAACCGTATTGTAAACAATGGCCTTGTGAAAGACAGCAAATGGCATTGAAAACACAGAGGTCGATCTAGTCGACGAAAGAACCTTAGATAAACCGACTAATGTTCAACAAAATGGGGGAAATGGACAACATATGGCGTCTGAACAAGTTTGAGGAAAATATGAACAGTTCGCATATAGAAGCCCAAACAGACAATATCAATGACAACGCTCAAAGTCTCGATGAAGGAAATACAGAATATGCAGACAATCAAAGCCTTATAACAAGGCCAAAAAGACGAACAAAGCCTACGCTCAAATCTGTCCAAAATCGGATGCAAACCGAAGAATTTAAAACGACAAAATTATGGGATAAAGTGCTTGAGGATCAGATATTCCTAGTTCATTCTCTATAGCGGTGACTTTCGCGACGGCAACTGCCGCTTCTTCTTCTAGAGACAATTGTTCTAACCGAGCTTTTTCGTTTATTTTTTGGCGCGACAATGCTAATTCCTGTTCTTGTATTTGTAATGCTAATTGCATTAATTTCGTTTTGTTTCTTTTGCAATTCTGCTTTCTTTATAGCTGCTGCAGCATCCCCTCTTGCTTGCGCACATAATGCGGCCGACAAGGCTGAAGACGTGCGGGAAGACGCGCGAGAACTTAAGCGAGCAGAACCCATTTCAGCGGTTAGTTCCATTACTGTCCGTGACCACGGTGTCAACATAATGTTTATGATAGTCAAGAATGTGTTCTATTTTCTCTCGCTCTTCAATACATTCTACGTGCCATACACTATGTACGAGACTATAGACATATGGTAATCATGAAATGCTGCACGAATTTGACTTTGGAGATTCTCGAAAGGGAAAATCATCAGTCTAGGAATTCAGGTTCGAGGCAAAGACAAACATACAGAACCGAAATCCCAACAAAGAAGAAAGTCGCAGAAAGAATCTAACCTGTGATCCCATCAGATGGTGTGTCCTCCATGAAAAACCGCACCCCTAGCCAAATGCAGAGCTTTCCAAGGCAAATCACTTGAAGACAGAAAACACCTGCTGAGAAAGAACCGAATATGCTTTCGTTGTGTGGCCTCAACAACCCATGTCGCAGTACCGTAAAGTGCTTGGAGTGTCAAAGTGACAAACATCTAACAATCATGCATGCTGGAAAGTCGCCGGAACAAAAGGAATCCGAAGTAAAAGATCCGAACATTGACAACCGCCAAGGTCGAGACCCACCAAGTCACAGCAGGGAGAACGAAGCCAC